AGAAAATCTTTGATCTGGTTGATGTTCTTAAGCTTAACTACAAAATATTTCACATAAAATAACACAAATAATACAAATTAGTACAAAAGTTTAGAGTATTTCTACCTCATAAGGCCATTAGTGGTCATTTTGACTGTGAGTTGGCTCTTTTTTCTCACTGTTCCAGATAGTTGGCATTATTTTGGCAGTTATTTAGTAGCCTACGAGCCTCATCTGAGTATTTCTACCTCCCACAGTGGTCATACATTAAACTGCAGTCGGTCTGCATGGGCTCTTTCTTTCTTGCTGTTCAGGGCAAGTTGGACGTTATTTTGCAGCAGTTAGCCCGCAGCTTACTCATTTACCTCAAAGAATATCTGGAAAGAACCGCCAGTTTGCAAAGTACTAGAACAGAACAGAAATGATCCAGAACAGAATAAAACAACAGCGATATAAGCAGAAATAAAAGTCAATGTAAATATATCCCAAATTTAAAAAATGCCTTTTCAGTTTTTCTCTGTTGTGGTATAAATAAGCATTTCACATACAAAACATTTACAATAACAATGACGTACTACACACTTAAAAATAGGGTTCTTTAGTAAAGACAATGGTTCTATACATTCTATACAGAACCATGAGTTCTACATAGAACCATTTGCATGCTGACGTGACTCTTTGTGTGGTGAAATGGTTCTTCAGATCGATGGAGAATGTGTTGTATATGGTTCTATATAGTACCAAAAAGGGTTCTGCTATTGTGACAATGTTTAGCTTGCAACAATAGAAGAACACTTTTTGGTGCTACAAAGAACCATTTTCAAAAGGTTCTATACAACTACTATGTATTATATATAACTATCTACAACACATTATCCATCAATCTGAAGAGAAAATTAACCATGCAAAGAACCCTTTAAGCATGACATGGTTCTATATAGCACCAAAAAGGTTCTATATAGAACTATCTACAACACATTATCCATCAATCTGAAGAGCAAATTCACCATGCAAAGAACCATTTAAGCATGACATGGTTCTATATAGCACCAAAAAGGGTTCTGCAATTGTGACAATGTCAAGCTTGTAACAATAGAAGAACCCTTTTTGGTGCTACAAAGAACCATTTTTAAAAGGTTCTATATAGATCTATATATAATACATCCTCCATCAATCTGAGGCAAAGAAACATTTAAGCATGCAAATGGTTCTATATATAACTCATGGTTCTAAATAGAACCATTGCCTTTACTTAAGAACCCTAAAAGAACCTTCTTTTTATGTGTAGTAGTTATTAATCGATAGATTAACTGATTATAGTAGTAATGGTTAGTTGCAGCCCCAGTTGAAAGATCTTTTGGTCCAAAGGTGGTTTAGACACCTGAAAAGTATGAGTGCTGACATCACAACAAACGGAAAACACGAGTGGCCTCTGGATTTATTCCCAAAGTAGGGCTTTTATCAGGTGCTCCATCAATTCTGCAGCTTTTGCAAAGAAAATTGCCAAGATAAACATCCTTCTACTGCCACTGTAGATGCAGCTGAAATGGTTTCATGAGGATATACTTCAAAAAAAGGCTTTGCATTTGTGAATCAGGGCTTCAGGGTTTCTAATGAACAGGGTGACACGCTGCAAAGGTTTTGGAAAAGGACTAGAACGGTTCCGAATCAAATTCCACTGACTGCTCGTTTGACATACATGTTCGTTACACTTTCAGGTACTGGAAGCTTCTGATGCCCGTGTGATGCACTGCGTTATCAGGACTCGGTGTCTCTCCTCTGATCCTGATACGCAGGCTCTGTTCATATTTCTCTAAGCCACAGTGTGACACGCAGCCAAGCAAAGCATTCCTTGGCTCTCGCTTACCGTCTGTCTGGGGCGGGACAAAAAAGGAAAAATAACACCAACTAATCCTGAAACGCAGCCAAACTCATGGGTCGCAAGGTTTGTATACATAATTTTGCAGTGTTCATTGCACATAATAATCTGGCTGCAATAAGGATTGTTCTTCAGTTAAAAAAAAAAAACGAAAAAAAAACAAGCTTGGCTCGTCTACAGCGAAATCTGCATCGCGGATGTCATGAAAAACGTTTTTCCTTGAAGGAAAAGTTTAGAGAAAAATCTGTTTTGAATGTTTTTCTCCTTACACCAAATGGAGTTGATCGGCCAAGACATGCTTGTGCTCTTCAGTTCTGCACTGGATGCAGAAAGGCCGTTACTTTGTTTTGTTTTGTTTTGTTTTGTGATTTTTAAGATTCCTGAAAGATTATTAAATGAAACGCTTCCGTCTTCAAAAAAAAGAAGGACTAGCTTTTGATACAGTGCCAACAAGAGTGGACACCTCAGTCATGTAAAATGCCTTTACACTCGATCAGTTGATTAGCTTGATTTTAACTTGATTCAGAAGACAAGTAGTGACACTTATGATACAATAAGGTAGAGATGTCTGTTCAGCTTAGTGCTTAAATTGGGCTTAAATTTTTGGTCAGTACACGAATACAGCCGAGACATAGAGCATACATAGAGCTTTCTGTCTGAGCCCAACCCGACACATAGCATGATGTTTTGAGTCCGAGCCCGACCCGAAACACATCATCATGTTTTGAGTCTGAACCTGACCCAAACCACATCGTCATGTTTTGAGTCCAAACATGACTTAGAGCCCGAACCCACCCGAACCACATCATCATGTTTGGAGTCCGAGCCCGACCCGAACCACATCATCATGTTTGGAGTCCGAGCCCGACCTGAAACACATCATCACGTTTTGAGTCCGAACCTGACCCGAAACACATCATCATGTTTTGAGTCCAAACATAACTTAAACCACATCAAGTTAAGAGCCCGAACCCACCTGAACCACATCATGTTTTGAGCCTGAACCCAACCCGAATCATATCACGTTTTGAGCCTGAACCCGACCCGAACCACATCATCATGTTTGGAGTCCGAACCCAACCCGTACCACATCATGCTTTGAGTCCAAAACTGACGCAAACCACATGATCAAGTTTTAAACCCAAACCCGATCCGACCCACATCAAGTTTTGAACCCGGACCTGACCCGAACCACATCATCATGGTTTGAGTTCAAATATGACCCGAACAACATCACATTTTGAGTCCAAAGCTGACCCGAACCACATCATCACATTTTGAGTCCAAAACTGACCCGAACCACATTCTCAGATTTTGAGTCCAAAACTGACCTCAGTGCAACAAAATTCTGTCCAAACTCAACTCGCCTCAAACCACATTATCATATTTTGAGTCTGAAACTGAGTCCATCAAAATCTTGTCTGAACCTGACCCGAAGCAAATCATCACGTTTTGACTCAATTCCATTTAAACTCAATGTGAACGGCAGTGCACATTGAGGGTAATCTGAGGGTAATCTGAACCAATCAAACCCTTTCTTTGTTTTCAAATGTTTTGACTGGATAAAAAGAGTTAAAAACAGTTTAGAGAAAAGAAATACAAATACAAAGAAATACAAATACAAACATATGAAAATGCTTGAATTCCTGGAGATTCAGTGTCCTGAAATGGATTTTGTTTCCCTGGAGAGGTAAGCAAAACCTGGACAATTCTGGGAAATCCTGGATGGGTGGCAACCGGAGTGCCAACAACAATGCGTCCAATAGAACCCTCTGTGTAAATGCTCAGTGCTTTAGCCTGATGAAATACTGTCCTGTTTTTGCTCTTCTTCTTTTTCCTTTTTCCTGGCTATTTTGGAAAGCTGATATGAGAAATTTGTTTGAATGCCACCAGAAAAAAACACAGATCAAGCTTCTAAAATAGCCAGATGAAAGGGAAAAAACAGGGAGGACAGGATTTCACCCATTTTTCCAGAGGTAAAAGTGGATTATGAACATATACTGGAGCTATCATCGAATGGAAATGACGTGATGGAGCTGTTTAATCAAAAAAATGTAGTGTTTTTGAGTTTCCCGCATAAATACATAGCGCAACAAACCCTCTGTTTTTGGGTTAACCTCTTAACTATCGCCACATTTTTGCCTGAAACAACACACTCAAAGTAAAAGGAGCACTGTTCCCACGTACTTTGGGCTACAGCCATGATCTTGGTCTCATTTGAAAGAGAACGCTTAAGTTTTTCAGAATGATTGTGTGAATTACTGCCACAGAGTAACAGAGGCTAGAATGAAGGAGTTTATTTCAGCCTGACTCGTAGATCTCTAAACTGATCTCTGACTCTTGCCATGTTACGAAGACCACGTTTTGGATAATGATGTCTCTGTGGAGAGGTTTTGGCGAAGCTTTGAATGTGAAGACCCACAGATTTGGTAATATTTGTTCATTCCATGCCTATATTGCAAATGAGACGATTGTTACTGCTATAAATAACAGATCATAAAATTGTTTATGGGAAACAAATCCTGAAATTTCTAACTTTCTAATGGTACATTGCATCACCGTATTGTTGGATGACTTGATGCATAAAACTGATGTTTAAAAAGCAGAAGTGAACGCTTCGACAGAAGTATGCCTGTACTGGTACAGTGATCTAGATAAAGTTAGGATGTCCTGTTCACTTGACAACTGTTGCTGTCTGCTATGTACACCAAGGACACTCAGTTGACTCTCCTTCTATCCTACAGTTAAGCATGAATTAATTGACTTTTGCTTCAACAGCTAAGACGCTTTTACTAAGCAAGAAACTTTCTAATTTTGGGCATTTACATTCAATCTATTGATATACAGTCACATGGCTTATATTGATATTCACAGCTTGCTTTTTGGCACATTTTACTTGGGACAGGTTCCGCTAAATGTGGAGGGGCAAGGGGCTCATACATCGTCTAAAGATTCCTCTCAGCACCCCTGCTAACAAGTAATGGAAGCTTACGCCACCCATTAGCACCACTGGTCGATCCACTACATTTGAGGTAATGCATTAGATTGTTCACCCAACTGTCCCTTTAAGGGGTCATTGGGACCACAAATACAAGTTAAATCTGAGATGAGATGAGAAAACTAGCTTATGACTTTTACTCACCGGAGTGTCGATCTTGATGAGGGCGATGTCGGCTTTCTCGTCCACGTCTTTGATCTTGGCGTCGAAGGTGGCGCCCGTCTTCAACTCCACTTTGACCCGGTGCTTGTTGGCCACTACGTGAGCGTTAGTCACGATCAGACCGTCCTCGGAAACGATGAAACCCGAACCACTGGCCACCGCCACCTCCCGCCTAGTGAACACCATCCTGCAGGAGAGGAGAGGAAAAACACATCAGTAGGTGAATTGAACTCAACAGCATGACATCACATAAGAGCTCAGTTTTAAGATAGACAGAGGAGAAGAGAAGAGGCAGATATGGCCTATTGTAGCACGTTTAAGGATTAGGAAGGCCTCACCAAATGAAAGAGATAATAACGAACACAAAAGACTGTTTATCCCCTTAAAATCCCAGGCTTATTACACACTAAGACTTATTATTCAGTAACTACAGGGACTTTGATGCAAACTGGCTGAGCTAGTCTTAGTTTATAGAAGTGTGTAATAAAACTTTGGGCCTGCTGGTGGGCCTGGCAATTTAAAGCGTTAAGGTCAACCTGAGACCACTATGGACCTTTTTCCCTTTGTAATTTCAATGTACATAATCATACAAATCATCAGATACATTTGTGATAGGGTAGACTGCTTCTCAACCAATCAGAACTAGCTGTTGTATAAATGGAAATACTGAATGAAAATTCCCATTCACACTGACTTTAACCTTAGAAGCCGCAGTTCTTGCTGGTGATAACAAAAGCATGCTGTAATTTTATATTAATATATTTCTGGTTGTAGCTTACTTAAACAAGCAGAGAAACTGTGTAGAAAATGCAGATTCTTTTCATCCATACCACATTTTTGTAAGTAGAAGAATAGATATTTTTATATAATTTGAATTGAAGAAGGGCAGCACGGTGGCGCAGTTGGTAGCGCTGACGCCTCACAGCAAGAATGGCCTGGGTTCGATTCCAGGCTGGGAGACCAGGGTCATTTCTGTGTGGAGTTTGCATGTTCTCCCCGTGTCTGCGTGGGTTTCCTCTGGGTACTCCAGTTCCCTCCCACAGTCCAAAAACATGCAGTCAGGCTCATTGGACATGCTGAATTGCCCCTAGGTGTGAGTGTGTGTGAAAGTGTATGTCTGTCTGCCCTGCGATGGACTGGCGACCTGTCCAGGGTGTATCCTGCCTTGTGCCCAATGACAGCTGGGATAGGCTCCAGCACCCCACCGTGACCCAGAAGGATAAGCGGTTTAGATGATGTATGTATGAATTGAAGAAAGCTTTTTGTCCTGTTGAAGGAAAATCTGACATTTTTGCCATGCTTTGGTCATTTTTTGACACTGAAACATGAGGAAAAAATTGGAATTGCAGACATTGTAGAAGAGTGTAGCACAAATGTAAATATAATTATGTAAATATGTAATTGCATGGTAATTTAATGGCATTTAAACAACTAGAAAAATGCAATTACTGAAAGTATGTTGCTAGGCTGTTGCAATGGCTTCCCAAGTGGTTGCTAAAGTGTTGTTAAGCCATTGCTATGGTATCCCAAGTGTTGCAAGGTGGTGTTGCAGGGTGGTTGCAATGGTATCCCAGGTGGCTGCTAGGATGCTGCTAACTGGTTGCTATAGTATCTCTGGTTGTTGTTAGGGTGTTGTTAAGTGGCTGCTATGTGGTTTTTAGGAGGTTGCTAGGTGGCTATGGTGCTGTTATGGTACCCCAGTTGGTTGCTAGAGTGTTGTTAGATGATTGCAATGGCGTTCCAGGTAATTGCTAGGGTGTTGCTACTTGGTTGTTACAGTAACCTGGCTGGTTGCGAGGGTACAGTAATACAGTAATAACACTTGACAACTAACAGTTAAATGTGAAGAATGTCACATTCCATTCTGCTCATGAGTTGCAAGAGTTCACTCTGCAAGGTTTACTATGAACCGATGTGGAAGGTTCCCGCAGACGAGATTGGCAGTATGAGATTTAATGGCTGTCTCTTTCATGTGAGAGACACTTTGATGAGAAACTTAATTTTCAGCATCGACATTCCACACAAAAACTCTCCCTGAGGCCCAAAAGTATGCTCCCCGCTCAGTGAGCCTAATGCCTTCCTGCCTGAGCTGAGAGCGAGAACACTTCCTCTGATGAATGACTTGCAGAAAACATGTCGGCCAAGATCCAAACAGGCTCCACTCCAACCTGTCCACCGGTGCGTCTTACTTTGTGCATTAAGAAGGCAATGTCTGTCAAAGGGCTCTCACTATTCATTATATTAGCAGCCTATTTTCCGATTATTTACACAAACAGTACGAGTTTTTTAACACCTATTTCATCCAAAGGTGTATTATTAAGTAATTACATTAGCTATAATGCAAACTGGCTTGTACTTGGTTTATAAACATGTGTAATAAAAGTTTAAGGGGTTAAAAATTTCTATAGACTTTGAAAGATTTTGAAATACTTTATCGAAAATGTTTTAACAAGGAAGGCTTCAAAAATTCATTAAAATTGTAAGCAGTAACGTGAAAATATCAGAGATCAGCCTTCATTTATTTCCAATCATAAAGTAAAATTATTCGTTTTTCAGCATCAGGGAAAAAACAGAAAAGATCTATTCAACTGAAAAATGCCACAAATTCCTGAACAACTAAATATAATATCACATTTTTCAGTGTTTCGTGTGTCCACTATTGACCTTTATTACAGCTTCCATTCTTTTCAGGAGACTCGCTTTCAGCTTCTCAAAGAATCTGCAGACACACCTCCAAAGTTCAGTCTTAGAAGCTGGTTGATCATTTTCTGAAGTACTCAAACACATTCAGTGGTGTTGAGGTCTGGACTCTGGGGTGGTCAGTCCATCGTTCAGCTCCTTTGTTTGATGTGTCCATCTCCTTTTCTCAGTGAGGTTCTTCTTGACAGCTACACATCCTTTCAGACCCATAGCGCTGAGTCATCTTCTCACAGTGGAAGGATGGAGAGAAACACCTGTGGATGTTTTCAGATCTGAAGCAGCTTGATTTTCTCCTCTCTCTCAGAGATGAATGCTTTAAGTGCTGTTTATCTGATGGGGACAGTTTTGGTGGTCTGCCAGGTCTTGTGCAGTTGTTTTGAGTCCCATCTTTTAATAATTTTCTGAACTCCAGTTTAGGACACTTCACTTACTTTCCTTTAAAACAGTAAGAGAACAAACTGCCAAATATTCACTGCTTAATCTTCAAGAAGGTACATTTTAATAAATGATTTGTTAAATTGAGTAACTGTGCCTATAACAAATCTATTGAGATATTATGGGAGTGGAGACATTTCCGCTCAGACTCTCCTCAATAAACAGTTTACATTCCATCTTAACATCTGGGCTGAGAAGACCGAGTATCATCTCCTTAGATCTGCCCCTCTTTAACTTTATCTGGCAAAGGACACCAGACAGTGATAACAGAACTACAGCATTAAAATTCGGACACAATCAGTCGATCACCCAGATCTTCACAGATATCATCATTGGTCGCTGGTGTATCACCCAGATCTTTTGTCTGTATTATGGCTCTGTTTAATTTTCCTTGTAAACTTGTCCTACTTGTATCCTAACTGCACTATCTAGTGTAGCCCAGAGGAGGAAGGCTTGGTCTTTCTCAGTGGTTCTTCCTCATGTTCTTAGGGAGTTTCTTCTTGTGAGTCTTGGGTCCTCTAGAGGTTCTTCCTCATGCTGTAAAGGAGTTTATTCTTTTGAGTCTTAGTTCCACTAGAGGTTCTTTCTCATACTCATAAGGAGTTTCTTCTTTTGAGTCTTCGTTCCTCGAAAGGTTCTTCCTCAGGCTCTAAAGGAGTTTCTTCGTTTGGGTCTTGGCTTCTCTCAGTGATTCTTCCATATGCTCAGATGGAGTTTTTCCTTTCGAGCCTTGGTTCCTCTCAGTGGCTCTTCCTCATGCTCTTAAGGAGTTCCTCGTTTTGAGTCTCGATTCTTCTAGAGCAGGGGTGCACAACTCTGGTCCTGGAGGGCCGGTGTCCAGCACAGTTTGGTGATTTACCTGCTCCAACACACCTGATTACACTTATCTGTTAATTGCCAGGTTAAGTGGGTGTGTTTGAGCAGGGAAACCTCCAAACTGGAGGTCACCAGTCCTCCAGGACCAGAGTTGTGCACCCCTGTTCTAGAGGTTCTTCCTCATGCTCCAATGGAGTTTCTTCTTTTGAGTCTTGGTTCCTTTCAGAGGTTTATTCACATGCTCTGAAGGAGTTTCTATACTTTTGAGTCTTGGTTCCTGTAGAGGTTCTTCCTCATGCTTTTAGGGAGTTTATACTTTTGAGTCTAGGTTCCTCTAGAGGTTCTTCCTCATTCTCTTAGAGAGTTTCTCCTTTTCAATTTCGGTTCCTCCAGTGGTTCTTCCTAATGCTCTAATGGAATTTTTCCTCTTGAGTCTTGGTTCCTCTCAGTGGTTCTTCCTCATTCTTTTAGAGACTTTCTTCTTGTGAGTCTTGGTTCCTCCCAGAGGTTTATCCTCATGATCTAATGGAGTTTCTTCTTTTAAGCCTTGGTTCCTCTCAGTGGTTCTTCCTTATGCTCTAATGGAGTTTTTCCTTTTGAATCTTGGTTCTTCTAGAGCTTTTCCTAATGCTCACAGGGAATTTCTGCTTTTGAGTCTTGCTTCCTCTCAGTGGCTCTTCCTTATGTTCTTCAGGAGTTTCTTCTTGCAAGTCTTGGTTCCTCCAATAGTTCTTGGTCATACTCTAATAGAGTTTCTTCTTTTGAGTTTTGGTTCCTCTCCGTGGTTCTTCCTCATATTCTTAGGTATTTTCTCCTATTGAGTCTTGGTACCTCATCCTGCACTTATGGAGTTTTTTTATTTCGAGTCTTGGTCCTCCAGTGGTTCTTCTTCATGTGCTTAAGAAGTTTCTCGTTTAATGTCTTGGTTCCTCTTAATACTTTGAGACAGGGATTTTTTGACCATAAAATGACCATCGATTTTTTTAACAGTTTTTTTTTATTGACCCCTTCAAATCACAGGCTTATTACATTCTAAAGCTTATTATTCAGTAACTGCATGGACTTCAGCCAACAGGCTGAGCTATTCTAAGACTATAGAAATGTGTAATAAAATGTTGGGCATGTTGCTGAGCCCTGGCCTTTTAAGGGGTTAATTAGTGTATCTGTATAATCAAACTCATGAGTCCCAAAAGTGTATTGAATATGAGCATAAATAGCAATGCCCTCAAAATACTTGATTTGCAGTTCAAATTATTATCAATATTACGAATAATATCAGAAATAACAATAAAATGATGATGACAATGATAACACCAATCACTCAGCATGTACAAATCCCTCTACTAAAGTGGATGTACTTATGTTTTTTATATGTGCCAGGATGTAAACAAATGTGGCGAATATTAATGTCCCATTTTAAGACACTGCACTGCCCAGTATGTGCATGCACAGGCACTTGCTTTCACACACAGAAGGCGACTGACCAATTGTGCCGAAATTACCGCTTGTTTTGATGTCTTGCGACAGTTTCATGAATCCAACTTACTCAAATCTGAGGACGTTTTTACTCAAGCCCAGCTGTGTAGATAAAACTGGCAGATGAAACAATCGGGGTAAATTCTACTGAGGTATTACAACAAAATGACATTTGATTTAAGAACAAGAGCAAAGCCAGGTGTGGAGTAACATCCTTTTGAGCTGCTGAACTCATAAAGGTCCCTAAAAACACATGTGAGAGATGAAGCCAGATGAAACTTTGTGACAGACGTTGAAGAGAAGCCAGGAAATGTGAATGTTTTTGTTCAAAAAAGGAACAAAAAAGCTGTCGCAAAAGAAAAATCAGGTCAGTGAGTCACTGAGCCTTCAAAAGAGAGGACATACTTGCGGTAGAGCTCAATATGAACCACAGCTGGGGCGACTTTCTCCACCACATCAGCGATGAAGTTGTATTTGTGCCTTGGGCTGTCTGGATTCTCCTCATGACCTGCAAAACAAGCCAGAGACGCACATCAAAATCTGAAAAAATCTGAAAAAATATGTTTTCTTTGGGGACTGTTTTGCCTTTGAACGCCCTTCTGGAATCTTTCCACCATGAATGGATTAAAATACACTGATTAAAATGTGTTTTGGACCTAAAATCACAAAACTATCATGAATCAATGTCTCACATATCAGGCAGTGCATTTAAAACTATTTCATGTAGTAACTTTCTGTGAGGGAGCTTTTAGAGGTGGACGTCTGGTTCCTATCACCACCACTGTGAACAATTCTGACTTTAAGGTTTTCTAGAACAGAGCGTTTCACACCAAACCACTCTGAATGACTTTGTTTACATCTTAACCATTTACTTATGCAGAAGTTCCCCTTTAACAGTTTATAATAAAGTGGATGGTATATATATATATATATATATATATATATATACACCTTCACTATGCACTTTATTAGTGGTGTGTGTGTATGTATGTGTGTATATGTATGTGTGTATACACACATATATATATATACACAGTGGGGTTGGGTCCAAAAGTATTCAGGACAACAATCTGGATAAAGAGTAGTATCTTTGAAATTTTGAAATTAATTTCAAAATCTAGAATTACTGTTCAATATGTGTTTCTTTTGTATTAATGACAGTGTGCACTCAAGCAGGCATGGTCTCCAAAAGTTTGCGCAAAAGCCTCTGATGAGTAGATCAAATCCTCCGGAGAGTCATCTGAACATGAGCTTCACTGGAAGAGATAAGACTAAAAAATGTGACTTTTTCGTACAAAGGCCTCAAATGGGTCACAAATTTGCTTCAATTTGAATAGTGACCTAGATATAGTGCAGACGTTTTCTTTGTTTCAGTTTTTCAAAATTCTGAAAAAAAGAAACTTAGAGCAAACAGAGTTTCCAAAACTGAAGTTCAAAAAAAGATTAAAAGCTCCAGAGAAAATGGGGCTCCTAACAACCACCTGCAAGACCTGGCAGACACCAAAACTGCCCCCATCAGATAAACAGCACTTAAAGCTTTCATCTCTGAGAGAGAGGAGAAAATCAAGCTGCTTCAGATCTGAAAACATCCACAGGTGTTTCTGCCCATCCTTCCACTGTGAGAAGACGACTCAGCGCTGTGGGTCTGAAAGGATGTGTAGCTGTTCAAGAAGAACCTCACTGAGAAAAGGAGACGGACACCAAGAAGCTGAACAATGGACTGACCACCCATCCAGACCTCAACATCACTGAATGGTTTTGATTACTTTAGAAAATGATCAACCAACTTCTAAGACTGATCTTGCGTGGAAAAATCCATTTTGGGGAGCAAAACTTTGGGAAGTAGAGTAACTGAACTACTATATTGTGGAGCCTCAAAAAAGTAACCTTTAAGTCCTTTCTACATTACTGTGTTTGATGCAAGTGTCCTAAACAATGTACCCATAGCTACCCTTATCTGGCCTCACACTGGCAGTGCCAACACAGCTAATCATGGAACAGAAAGCACTCACAAATGTTTACGGAAGACATGGATGTTCCTTATTAATGCCTTATAAAACTGCCGGCCTTTCATAACTGGTGGATATGTAACACTTTACCTAATCTTGCGTAACCCACATTTCACAACATCTGCAGGCATGCACATCTGTAACAATTTCCCTTCCCTTGTAGCCTTTTAGCATGGTTCATTCCCCTGGGTCCTCGCCCAACCTTGGAGGAACCGCTACTTTCAAACAGTTTCTCTGAAAACGCCAAACTGTTTAGGCTTTTTGGGGTTTTGTTCGGCGTATGATACAGCAGGGGCTGAGTAAGACAATCACCATAAATCAGGAACAGCTGGGCAGAGCTCAGGCTCACCTCAGCTGAACGCTAACCTCAAGCTGCATGCTATGTGGAACCAGCAAAACCAGCTGCTTACCATTCTCTTTATGAACTATGTGAGAGCTTTTCTCGAGGAACTAGCCCCCCAGCAAAAGAACTCTGTATGTTATTCAGAGGTGAAGACTGGAAAAAAAAGCTAGCAAGTTTTAGCAAGCTAATACGTCTTACTGTCGCTAAAAAAAGCACTGATCCCTCTTCATGCCTTCCTCTCAGCACACTGGAATCTCTTTTATGGAATTGTTTTTACCTCCGTAATGTGAAAATCTGTCGAGTCTGAAGGGTTTTGCCCATTTGGAGCCGACAGGAGCGGGTCTGGTATGCCTCGGCCTGCACCCTCACTTTTTATGTAATGCTAATTATTCCATCTGCAGAAAAAGTTTGAGTCTGCCAGAGGACGGTTTAGTGCAAAAGCTGCTTCAGTGCTCACAGAATCAGGCTTAATTTGTGCTGTGAGCTTCCTCTATAACACTAATCCCGGGGTCACAACCCAAATGTTAAGAAGAGCCATTTCAACAAAAATCAAACCACCCTGGGAGCCACAACATTTTATGTCCATTTTACCATCTTGGCTGTATCTGCGTCTCAGTATGTGCTGATGTGCTAGTAAAGGCTAAAAAACATAATATAAATAAAAATGAAGACTTACTTTGCTCTGCTTTAAGCTTTAGCTCAGCTGTAGCGGCTTTTCTCGCATCTCCAGCAGGAAACTTTTCCACAAAAGTAGAACAGTTTCTTGTAAATTGTCTCTCAATGTTTGATATTTTACGAGGCTGAAGTCGCTTTTTTTTCATTCACCAGCTTCTTGTTTGAATTTTCCGGTCCACCTTAACTGGTGGCTGAGGTGCGAGAATGTAACTGCTGCACCATTTAAGGTGGAACAGGAAGCTTTGTCACTTTTTAGTGTTTGACAGTTTCTCGTTGCAAATTAAAGGAATCAGGGAACCAGCTGGAGTGATAATAAACACAAATAAGTCTGTTTGTCTCCAAATTATAAATTATCTTTCTCTTTGCCGTTCCATTAGCTACTAGCTAGGTGTTGTTTGCGTTGCTATGGTGACCAGCAGTCTGCCCTGATCTTCAGGGTTAAAGGGTGAATTAGCAGTTCTACATTAACTCCAGAGTTTAAGACCATTTATTGTTAAACTGTGTTGAACGATCAGCAGAGCTTTATTTCACTGCAAAGGAGGATTATTTTATTTTTACCTACAAATCTAATTCTGCTGTGGAGCCGCAAAAGTGCTGTAAAAGAGCCGCATTTGGCTCTGGAGCTGCATTTTGGCAACCCCTGCACTAAACTGTCTGAGTTTTAGAAGCGGTCACATGATATCACCCAATTCGGCATAGTTATCACCACAGTAATTAGCACGACACTGGTTTGGTTTCCAAGCATGCATGTCCCCCACGGCCTAAAATAGGGGGTATTTGCTGCCAGTGTTACACATCTGGCCTACACTCTTAAAATTGATGGTTCTTTATGGGTTCTTTAAGGAGGAAAATCGTTCTGTATAGAGCCATGAATACACAAAGAACCCTTTGCATGATTAAAGAACTATATAAAACATTCTACATCATACTGAAGAATGCTTTCACGATGCAAAGAACCCTGTAATCATGCAAAGGGTTCTTTGAGTGTTTGTGGTTCTATATGGAAACATTTTCTTTACTACAAAACCCTTGAAGAACCATCTTTTTTACAGTTTCACACTGTTAAGAGTAAACACAAAACAAATGTTTTTGGATGCAATAAAGGTAGAGTAACTAAATTAAGCAACCTCCTGGCTGGACTTCTGACGTCACGTCTCTGGCAACCTGGTGCTTTTGACACTTACGGAAACGCAAATCTTTCTTCCTAATTCCAGGAGATAGAGGTCACTTCAATTAGACCTGCTGCCAAAACCTCCCTTTACTAGAGAGTACAAAAAGTACTGGCAGACGAGCTGGACGGATCCCATCTGATCTCTTTTGGCCCGAATAAAGAATGGAGGAGAAGACTGCGAATGAAAGGTGCAGGCCGCATGTTTCCTGGCGATGTGGGCGATGTGGCCCATGTGACGCAGTGCAGTGTGACAATTATAACTTTAAAGGGGAAATCGTATTTTGCAGACAAACAACATAAAATCCCACATGTGAAGTGTGACATCATATTATATCAATAAGGGCTCTGCCAGATGTATGGAGGTTTGCAGACGGAGTACAAACCAATGATGTTTTAATTAAGTTGTTGTAATACCAATAAACCATAGATTACTGCATTACGTGGAGCTCATACAGTGGCCAGTTAGTAGAAGTAGAAGGTAGGTGTTGCTAATAAAGTGGCCAGTGAGTTGAAGTAAAACGTAGGTGTTTCTAATAAAATGGCCAGTTGTTGGAAGCACAAGGTAGGTGTTTCTAATAAAGTGGCCAATTAGTGGAAGTAGAAGGTGAGTATTCATAATAAAGTGGCCAGTTAGTGGAAGTAGTTGGTGGTTGTTTCTAATAAAGTGGCCAGTTACTGGAAGTACAAGGTAGGTGTTCCTACTAAAGTGGCCGGTTAGTGAAAGTAGAAGGTGGGTGTTGCTAATAAAGTGGCCAGTTAGTGGAAATGCAAGGTATGTGTTTCTAATAAAGTGGCCAGTTAGTAGAAGTAGAAGGTAGGTGTTTCTAATAAAGTGGCCAGTGAGTAAACATACAAGGTAGGTGTTTCTAATAAAGTGGCCAGTTGCTAAAAGTAGAAGGTACGTGTTTCTAATAAAGCGGCCAGTGAGATGAAGTACAATGTAGGTGTGTCTAATAAAGTGCTTCACTGAAATTTTAGCCGGCCTTGACTAATCTGGTTAGTCAAGCAGCCGAACACCGCTTAGTATATGAAACATAATCCACAGGTAAAGTGAAGACTCTTTTGCCACCTTGTAGTGTCCTGTCCTTGTGGTTTGACCAAGCTTGGCCCTGGTTTCCCCTTTCACAATGGACACTGTACTCAAAGACTTGCTGAGTTAAAGATGATGTTACATAATATGCTTAAACTTCGATCTCTCAGCCTTGGCAGAGCCACATGGAGGTCACACCACAGAAATAGATTTTGGTTTCTGTAGGCGCCAGGTAACACTGTTTGTGTTTGTTTTCACACATTTTCAGGACAAATATGTT